ATATTTGTTATAGGTAGTCTATTGTTTACCTAATGCTAGCATGAATAAATTTGATCTCCATGGATGCTCCAGTTTACTAAGTTAACTATTATTTTCTGTCCTTCCACTGCACTTTCATTTGTGTACTTCCCAGTTTAGACCTTTGTTGTTAATTATGTTTGTTTCTTCTGTTTAGACTTCAGACTCCAACTTTAAATAGGCTGTTAGATTTACTGCCCATTAACGTTTGTTACTGTCCTAAAATTACTAATGATATCATCATCACTCTAAGTTACACTGAAATGCATCTAATATTCTTATACCTGCTCAGTAACATTGCTTCCTGTATGCTGAGAAATGCCATAGGCTAATGTTCTAGACTCAAAGCATGAGACAGGGGTGGAACATCGCTAATTTATTAAGAAAACCACCTTAAGAGAAACACAGTAGAAAACCAAAAAATTTTTGCAAGAATGTAGTCTTGAGTATCCTGCAAATTTGACTTGATACAGGGTAAATTAGTGCTTTTCAAATATCCACTTGCAGACTCCTAAGACTTTAAAGGAAAGGATTGATACTACTGAATTGTTGTTCAACTAGCCATCCATATCTGGAAGAGGAATCACAAAGTTATCTCCGGTAAAAAGGGTCTCATGCATGGCAGCCAAAGTTCTGAGAACAACGCATGTTGGATCCATTTTAAAGATTCGCTGAACCTGTGTTGTACAGGAAAGAGTACCCAGCCGGAGCCTGACGGATTCTACCATCTTATACTAATGATTTTAAAAAGTCTTATATCCATTTCCAAAAGGCATTGTTTTACAGGAAGATGGAGTGCTTGTATATATTATGAATAGTAATTTAGTTTGCTTATGGAGAAAAGAATCTTGAACTGCTCAAATACAATGCAAAGACAGTTACACATGAAAAGAGTAGTGAAAAAGAATAGTCTCAAAGATTATGCACAGACTCCTTTGCCACCATAAAAATGAAGATCACCGTTTTCATCAGGTTTCCTTCTTTCATATACTTTACACATAATTCTCTAAAAAGAAAAATTGTAATGCCTTGTTTCACTTCACATTATCTCCCTAGTATTATATGCTGACTGATGTAAATTTTAAAACTCAGTCCTGAAAACACACAAAAAAATTGAATAGAAAACTGAATCACCAGGAACCTGAAAGACAGACTTACAAATCTTTTGTCAGAATATGTATAAATCATTAATATCTTTATATTATTTTGGGAATAAATTGACTTCTGGATATTTTTAATTTGTTTTACTTTTATATGCAAAACACTTTTATTAAAAATTAGAAAACTGTTTCTCATTTGAAGTTTGGGAAAGAAATTTCACTGTAGCTGATTGTTTTGTCATGTAACAGATCCAGATTTTGACTATTCAGGGTGAGGGATACAGCGCAGCAGGACAAGTGCCTGCCTGGCAAGTGTGAGGTCCTGAGTTCGATTCCCAGTACCAAACAAAGCAAAAAGATTTTGTTTGTTAGAATCTCAGCCTATTATTTTTGAAATTTTTCACTAAAATTGAGCTTTGGTGTGTCACAACTGACATAAGACACACCAGGAAAAGAACAATGTACAGCATAAAAATAATGAGTCATTAGTAGATAATTATAAGTGAATCGATTAATTCAAACCTAAGGAATACATAGAATAAGAAGTTGAAAAAAACACAAAATTTCTTCAAGAGAAGTTTAAAAATATGCTTAACTTGAAGAAGACCATGACCAGAATATTAATATATTTACTTGATGCTGTTTTGAGAAATATCAAAATATTTCACAATATATCCAGAGGCTAATGAGAAGAAAACTAAAATATAACACATTAATTTGTAATCTGGTAGGATTTACTCAAGTACATTGTGAAAAATCATGAAAGATATGAATCAGCTCATTGACAACACACTGTTAAATAGTTTCTATGACAAATGAGACGCTTACCACAATGTTAGCATTGAGTCACTTGACAGCTGTCAGTATCTATTGGGCTGTCTTTCCTAGATATGCAAAGAGCTGATTACGTTTTAATATTGCTTTTTACTTGGAAAACATTTATATAAAATACCACAGCATGAATATATAACATATACAATAATAAAGTTTGTATATTTCCCTGTGTGTATGTTTATATTCTCTTATATATAGAAAGAATAGGAGGAAGTCATCACCCTTCGCCAACTTACTTTAAGACAAATGGATCAAAAATAATCAGAATGCATCAAGAAATAATTGGGTGCTATTGGATGTAGTAATGTCCAATCCCACAAGTGTATTAGACTCATTTGTGGAGTATGAAAACTTAACCAACATCTTTGACAAATCCACTGCTAGCATTATACTAAATGACACAAAAAAAGTTCAATCAGCCCTCCCAGAATCCTACCTGAATACATTTTCACTAAAATCAAGAACAAGAGAAAGTTTTCACTTTTACCACTTTTACTAAATATAATACTCAAAAATTTACCCAGGACAATTAGGCAAGAAAAAATAAATAAAAAAGTGGTATAAGCAGCAACAGTCTTCATCTAAATGTTCTTAAAACTACTGAGTTCAGCAAAGTGTCAGAGCATGAAATAAATGCACAGAACAATAGTATTTCTATACACCAAAAGTTAACCACTAAGAAAGAAATTGGTAAAACAATCACACTCAAAATACCCTCAAAATATTACTGTTCATTGGAATTAACTTGACCAAGGAAGTGACAGACCTCTATAATGAAAATTACATTGCTATAAAAAAAACTGAAGAGAATATCAGAAAATGAAAATATCTTGCCTAATCTTGAGTAAGCAAAGCCAACAGCATCAAAATAGATTACAAATATTATATATATACATATATATATGTATATATAAATTTAATATAACCAAAATAAAAATACCAATGGCTTTTTTCATAGAATGAGATATCAGTAGTTCTAAAATTTATTTGGAGAAGGAAGAGATTCAGAATAGCTAAAGCAATCCTGGTCAACAAGACCAAGGCTTGCAGCATGATGATTCCAGAATTCAGGTTATATTGTAATGTCACAGAAGTAAAAACAGCATGGCACAGACATGAAACAGATATTCACCAACAGAATAGAATGGAAGATGAAATAACCCTATGGACCTTGGACGAGGTGATTTTTTAGCAAAGGGTCTAATCATTATATACTGAAATAAAGACTTTATTAAAGAAATAAATGGTCCTTGGAAAGCTGGTCCCCATCCATGGAAGAATGAATCTTGATCCTTATTTCCCATTCTGTGCTAAAATACATTCAGAGTGAATCAAAGGCCTATATATAAAAGCAAAAATACTGAATCTGATGGAAAAAAAAGTAAAACTCTTACATCACAGGCATAACCCAGACAACAATTTCTTGAATTAAAGCACAATTGCACCAGAATCATTAAATGTTGCATGAATTTTATTTACCTGCCTTACAAGTAAAATTTCTTTAAATATGCAAGACCTCAGCCTTTTCCTTTAAATCATTGCATGTGGAATATTGTCACCAAGGCCCCTCTCATTTTTGTGTCAGTGTGCTCTAATTTTATTAAACATGCTCCTATGCCTACTCTGAGGTGAGCTTTCTCCATTCTTTTTTCTCTTCTGCACTTCAGTTTTGTGGAGCACAGTGTGTGTGCTGCTAAGGCAAGAGTTTATGGAGAGTAGTTTAAGGCGCGTTGGAGGAATAGCCCTGCGCGAGGAACTAACTGCTAAGAAAAGCAAAGTTCGTTGGCAGTAGAAAATGTGCTACATAACTGTCACATAGGGATTGGCTTAAACATAATTCAACATTTACTTGGAACATTTCTGTGCCTTAAATGTATACTGCTTTCTGCATGTCGCTTTCTGCAAGATCCACTAAAATACACATGCAGCTGTGATAGTGACAGCTTGAGGTTGAGCAGATTGACATAAAAGTCAAATAAAAATGTTACGCAGCTCCGTGAAGGGCATATGGAGGCGACTTAGTTTTAAAAGCCATTTTACTTATATTAGGTGACATTTTCAAATATAAAGATATATTTTTATATTATTTAATGATTTAATGAAGGATATACTGCACTACAAATTATTTCCAGGATAACTAATACAGTCTGTATATTTAAGGTTTTTATATATTTTATCAAAAGCATTTATTTCTTCCTTCCTTAAAACTCTTTACCAAGGTATTCAAAATTATTTAAACTCTCTATTTATATACCTTCAACTCACTAAATCACAATATAAATGTGTCTACTATGATATTTTAATAAATACTATGTGGTATAGCTATCTTCCTCTCAAACAGATGCTTCTATTTCATTTCCTCTGCATGGGAAGATGCCATGAGAAATCTGGGTATCTTAAATCACATAGAAGTACAGCAACTGAGATCTAATATTATACCTCTGTGGAGAGTCTGAAGATGCCCATTTAAATTTTATATTGCTGTATGTATTATGGTAATAATTATATTTGAAAAGTGTCTTTTATTCCCTCCTTTCTTCCTTCCCATTTTCTTTGTCAAGGATTAAAATATGGTTTTATACAATAGTTCAATTGTAATATTTGTTTATTATCTTTTATCTCTCTGCAATTTAAAGTACACGACAAAATTGCGTTTTCATTTCTTTACTGGGATCGCTCAAGTGAATTCATAATTGTACACTCTACTTTTTAAATTATATATCTTAGTGTAAAGTGCTTATTAAATGCAAGCAAGAATGTGCAATTAAAGAAAGATATCCTTCACTCTACGCCATGAGAAACATTTATAATTTAGATGACAGATCTGTATTTAAATGTACTTCTAATTAAAATATACACAGCACATTGACATATATCATGTTCAAAACTACTGCAAATATTTTGCTTAGTTTTCTGAATACTCTTCATGTCAACAAAAGTATATTATCCTCTTCATTTAATGTCTACATAGCTTTGTTTTGTGACTGCTCCATAAATACTTTGAACAATTCTTGATGTTGGAAGTTTAGTGGGTGCTTGAACACTTACTTGACCGGCGCAGCCCCCCAATGAGACAGGAGACGCTTCAGGTGGTAACAGGAACTGCCGCTTTATTTACGCAGGCTCTGGTTTATATATTTGGCCGTGACCAATCACAGGCTGCCACGAGGAAGCAGGGTGGGAATGGGAAGCAGGCTCTGGCTAATATATCCAGCTGTGGCCAATCAGGGGTGAATACGGAGTGAGCACGAGGTGCGCCTGGGTTGGCTAATTTAGAGAGGGACATAACGCATTGCGGAAGCTGACGAGGTCTTATCGTCCCGGGCGGGGTGTGTTGAGCGCCTGCGCCCGACACTTACTATTATCAACAAATTTCAAATTAAGATGCATGAGCCAGGGATTTAGCTCAGTATCATAAACACTTGCCTGGCAAGTTTTAGGTTGTGAGTTTGATCCCCGGTATAAAAAAAAAAAAAAAAAGTGTACTTTGATGTTTTAAATCATTTTTATTTTAATAATATAAAACTTTATAAATGGAATCTTTATATGACAAGCACATATATTTTCCCATGTCTTAGAAAGTTGTTTAAAAGAAATATTGTATTTTAAAATTTGCCTTTGTGAACGGTTCATATTTTATTTTCTAGTTCCTTTTTATTATTTGGCTTCTTTTTTAATTATTTTATTATTTTTGGAAAGACTAAAAATCACATATTTGAGTAATCTTATGGAACATATTTATGTTCCACTAAAATTGGCTTGATTTTTTGCAAATACATGAAAAGAACAATCAAAGCTATTTGGACATCATCGTTACTTCTACTCTTTATGTTTAAACTGTTTTAGACTAGCAAGAGTTTGCAAAAGTACCCTTGAGTACATCTCACCTCATGGCTTCCAATAGCCACAATTTGTCTAATATTGTTTATTTGCCCCATTTTTGCTTTGTACCCCAGGTTAAGCCACTTTTCCTTCTTCCTTTTTTATTATTTTGCATCAGAATACTAACATAAAATCTGGGTATCGTATACTCATTTAGAAGTGATTAATTTCTTGCTTCAGATTTTTACTAGTAAATTAGAGGGGACAATTTCACCTCCCATCAGAGTGTTACACACAAATAATCCTCTCAGACAAGATCTAAAATGTTGCTTGTAGTATAGTATTACATGCTTATTTACCATCGATTTTTAAATTTAATTCATAGTTTTGTGACAGCCTTACATGGATATTTAATTCTGCTTGTTAATGTATAGTAGTTTTAATTCAGAATCTGTGTTTTAAATATCCAATATTTTGAAAATACGTTTTATATATTTAAAAGCAGCATGGTGTTCACTGTTTCTCTTCTTTACAAAATGTCCTACAGATCTCAGAAATATGTAGCACAATAGTTAAGCTTGTTATATGTCAATAATTTGGAGAGAGAAAGAGAGACAGACAGAGACAGAAAGATACAGAGAGACAGAGAATGCTGGGAAGGTAGTAAAGAGTTAAGGTTTAAGGAACTGGTTTACATAGTTGTGAAGGTACAATGCCGAAATCTTCACGGTAGAAGAGCCAGCCAGAAGCCCAGAGTCAAGTGAAAGTGCTGTCCAAATGTAGAATTCCTTCTTTCGAGAACAGGTTCAGTCTTTCTACTATTATGCAATCACCAGCATGGAAAATACCTGCTTACCTTATGGTGCCCTAGTTATTTAACTCCTGAAGAGTCATGTTATTCTTTTTTTTAAAAAAATATTTTATTTAAAAGGAAAAAGAGAAAAAAAAGCAGGACAAGACAAAACAGTGTAAGGGTACAAGTAATTCAGAACTACAGAAAAGCAAAAAACAAAAAACAGTACGCTATCACCAGTTAATAGATTATTCGCTATCATCTTAGAAACGATGTTTCAGGTCACAGGATCAAAGCACACAAAACGAACATTCAAACAGTGAGACTGCAAACAGTTGTGTTCAGTAATCCAATCCAAAATATTAATATGGTCTTCTATGCAACACACCTAAACACCCTTGCTGTTGTATCCTTCAGGGCACTTTTCTTTCCTTCTCTTTATTACAACAAAATTTACACATTTTGGGCTTTATTGCTCCCTTAGATCTTACTACTTTTTTTTGTAAGAGAATAAAATTAAGCATGATAAAACAAAGCTGTCAGTCAAAACCAAGGATAGACATAGCATATGATGTAAAACAGAGTACAAGGTTATCAACAATGGTTACCATAATGCCTCTTGTATCCTTAAGAAGAATTGTCTATCTCTTTAGGTATTATAAAGTTAAACATAACAGTAGAGAACAAGACCAATAAAACCCAAACTTTGTAAATCTTACAGCACCTCAAAAGAGGATAATAGTCAAACCAGAATGAGCATCATAGTGAATCTTATTGCCTTTAAAGTAGTTGCCTATACTCTGATACTTGACACTTTCATTCAGAGCAGAATAGAGTCTAATCAGTCAAAACAAGATAACGGGGCTATTACAGGACTTCAATTTGATAGGAAATCAAAAAAGTTACTATAATATATCCTACTAGATTTTTTATTTTTCCCCTTAGTTTAAAAAAGGAATTTAAAAAATTAAATAATTTTTTAATGAATAAGGGAGAGGATGAGATAAAAGGGGGCATAACAACATAACAATACAGGTTAAAGCATGACACTTTCAGCAACCTAGTGCTTTACCACCAAATAACCCAACTTAATAGTAGTTACCATAGTGTCTTTTTCTTTGAAATATTTGAATATAACTTCATATGCTACAGCATCAAACATATCAAGACCATTCAAGTGGATGAAAGCATTGTGGAGTATTTAGAACCAGCTAACAGAAAAATGATCAATGGTTTCTAAATTGTCTCTTTGCTTATAACAATTTTTGTTTATACTACCACATACGATAAAATCCAGCAAGCTACAAGAGTCATGTTATTCTTATCAGAACTGGAGATTCTCATTCTTTTGCACTCTGTGAATTGAATAAGCAGCCACAGAATGCCAAGTGTTTGGTTTCAAACTGAAAATTACAACACTTGTTTCTCAGATTCTAAGGCTTTGAGGCTTGGAGTCTCGCTACAAGCTTGCCCAAGTCTACAGTTTGTAGAGGGCGGACTGTGGAACCTGTTAGCTCCCGTAATCACATGAACCAATAACGTTACTCTAATTTTATCTCTTGATCATACATCTATCATACTGACTCTATCGCTTTGCAGAACTATGACTAACGCAGCAACTAGTGTCTTTGGGGTGAATTGCTTAGAGAAGTCCAGAGACCAGAATAACTCATAGAAGAATTCCATGATTTGTTTTTATTATTGTGCTACAGGTAGAAGAAAAAATCTTAAAAATATAAATATATCTGAATGTATTTATGAGTACTAGGAAAATAAGAAAAGTTTCTGGCATGAATCTGGCCAAAATATACAAAAACAAGTATTACATATTGAAAATCTAGCAGTTTTTACTTTATTCCTAGTTTGAATATCTATAATTGCATAGTCTTGTATTAAATTACTTAAAATTAGTATTGATAACAATGCTATTTAAAATTAGTATCAAAATTATGATCAATGCTTCTTGAACTGTTTTGATTTGTATATTAATTTCTGTAATATTTCAGAGATTCGTCTGGGTCTTTATGTACATAAATGATTATTTTCCTTAACACGTACTAGTTTATGATATGGAAGAATTGTCATTTAATTATTTAACCCTTGGTAATCATCTGTCTTGCTTTTAGATTTGATATGCAACAGATAAAGTTACTAAACACAGGTATGTTGTAAGTATTATGTGAATTTAAGCCTTTGTTTGTGTGGACTCATATTCATGAATTAAATTGCTGGGTTTAGAGATGTTATGGGAATGGAGCCATTACCATGCTATCTTCCAGAGTGGACCTATACTTTATATTTCTATCATCAGTGTATGAGTGATACAGTCTGTCCATTTTCACTAAGATTTTGTGTACAAGACTGTAACTCTAATTTAATTTCCCTAATGGCTAATATTTTTGAAACATTTTAATGTCCTTATTTACATCTATACATTTATAAAAATGAAATGCATTTTCAAATATTTTCTTATTTTTTATCAATTATTTTTCATACTGTAGTTAAAATGCATATAGCATAAAATGTACCATTAATGAAACAGTACATTTAAAATGTTCAATCTCACCGCTATTTTTCTCAAAACAATTTCAGTAGCCCTTTAACATCTAACAATTCAGACTCACTCCTCCTTCTACCTATTCACTGGCCAGCACTAATCTGCTTTCTGTCTTTATGGATTTGCTTTTCGAGATATTTGACATAAGTGAATATAGAATATTTGGCTTTTGTTGAGTTTCTTCCACTTTGATATTGTTGTCAAGTTTCATCCATGTTGTAGCATATATTATAACGTTACCACTTGTGACAGCTGAAAAATATTCCATTATATTGTAACATATTGTATTTCTGGTGATTGTGCATTCACTGTTAGTATATTAAAATATAGCCAGTTTTTTCCATTTTTGCTTCATATCGCATGATCTTATTAAAATCACTAATTTAGAAGATTTTTTCTTCCTTTGAAGGTATTTTGCAGTAGTCACTTAAATTGAGAAGAGATTTATTTAACTTGTATTTGTGTGAGTGTGTTTCAGTAATAACTAGAACATTTGACCCTATGTTTTATAAGTGGTAAAAAACATTTTTATCGTTTCCAAAATTAAAGGAATATTATTGAGTTTTCAAATCAAATATAATGCTAGTTAGATTTTTTTTTGTATTTCTAAAAACCAAATCAAGCAAATTTCTCTGTTTTTACCATATTCTGAAATGCTTTTACACATATGTGGTGGCTTAACTTTGTTAAATGCCTTTTCTTTATTAATTGATATGATCATGACATTTTTCTGTGTCAATTGTTAATATTGTAGACCTAAATAATTCTTTAGAAGTATTTTTAATATAACTAGTTAAACCTAGTCAAATTCAATGTTAATCTATATTTAACTATATAAGAATATTTTAGATAGTATTTTAATTAGATATGAAATAAATTTTAAATATTATTTAAATAATTAATTAATTTAGATAGTATTTTAAA